AAAAAAAAAAAAAAAAATAGAAAGACTTTGAATTAAAACAAAAATAGGAAATATTTCATTAATATTCCAAAAATACTAAATATATCTTTCCACGTGTTTACACATCCATTTCTTCTCACCAATTTCTCTCTAATTCCGCTCTCAAAATTCTAAATCTCCTCTGAAATTCACTTAACCGAACTTCCGGGAAGCGGGAAGGAAAGACCTCCGCGACCCATAACGTCGGCATCATCGAGCATACTCGCGAGGCATTTCAATGATCCGAGGTCCGAGCCGACCCCTGTCACCGTTAAGCACTCAATCAAGTCGGGTGCTCGGAGCGAAACAATGCTCGTTCACTGCACGCTCGCGAACGAAATCTCGAAGCACGGCGTGGGCGTCGCGCTTGATGATACGCAACCGCGCAGGGCCTGATCCGCGACGACGGGCGGACGTCGAGAGGTGGACGGGACAGAGAGCGGGCGCAAGAACTTCCCTTCCCCACGCTCGACCCCCTGTAATCACGGCCTCATTAGTCCTCCGCCGGCGGATAAATTACCGCCGATGGTGGAAGGGGGCCGCATTGTTTCGCGTAAGTGGGCATCCACGGGGATCGTGCGCGCGGGTTGGATCGGTTTCGAGAAAGGCGGCGTTGGTAAGCAGCGTTGGATCGGCCGATTCACGGGACGGGAGAAAAGAGGAGGAGGACGCGACGGTGGAGAGAATTCCTCGTGTCTTCTCGGGCTTGAAACCCGAACGACCGTAATCTTGGGCTATCTAACGTTGTAAACGTAGCGAGGTGATGATTTGCGACCTCCCCGCAGAGAACGTGGCTCGAAGGAAGAAACGTTGGAGGAACGTCCTCTCTCTTCTTCTCTCCCTTTTCTCTTTCTTTTTCTCTTTCTCCTTCTCTCCTCTCCATCGACCCCTTTAGATTCAATTTCGCGGGGCGTCAGCCCGCTGACGCGACGTCCGCCCACCTTCCTGCGGGACGTTGATGTACGATACGGTGCACCGGGTCCGACGCGTGAAACTTGGGGGAGAATCGCGCGAGCGTGAATTGTTTTTTCGACCCGTGAAACGGTTTGCAAAGTAACCGTGGAGTAACTTTCTTCTTCTTTTTTTTTGTTTTTTTTTTTCTTTGAAAGTTGGTTGGCAGGAGATTGAAGGGAGAATGAGGATGGAGATGAAGCGTCGTTTTGAAAACGTTTAAACGGGCTGGAAATTTTTGGCGAACGTGAATTTGGGAATTGGGAATCGAAAGTGGAGTAATTTCATTGAATTTATTAGATATTGCGAAATATAGGTGTATCGTATTGTCTGAGCGTGAAAATTATTTATTATTAGAGGTGATGTAACGCGTATCGATTTTCTAAAAATATAATCTGTATAAATATTGAATTTAATAAGTAATACTTCACGAGATTCTAAACGCCATTCTCTGAATGAGATCATAGGTTTTATTTGCTTTCTCGTTCACTCGTTTATTGCCTCCGTTCACAGTCGACCTATTTGCCCAAACGTTCACCGGAGCGTATCGATCTTCTCAAAAATTTCGCCTTCATCTCTCAAATGTTTGATCAAACAGCGTTGCTCTCTCGAGATAGCAATACTAGGAATACCTGAACCGACGAGCGTACACTCTGGCGCGCTAATTAAGACACGGACAGGCTAGCAAGAGTTGCAATAGTAGCTCTAGCCGTGAGAAAGACGCATCCCCGTGTATGTTTTATAATTTACATTTCGCAAGGTGCACGGGAGCGAAACACGTCCGCGATCGTACTCGCGCTTCAAGCTTGATTTCTACCAGTGCTCGAGGAAAGCCAAGATATTTAAGTGGAAATCACGTTTAGAAAGTTGTTTTAACGCACGTTTTGTACCGCAAACAACTACATTTTGATGGAGATTTGAAAAAAGATTGGCATTTTGACTTTTAGCGATTAATGAATTATTGAATTTTTATTGAAACAATTGCATTCCATACACGAACAAAATGGAAAGTATATAATTAATAAAATATGTGAATTTTTATATAGGTAAAATTTGTTCAAATATTCAACTAATATATATAAAACATGTAATATGATATAAAACATGCATTAAATTTACATTATAGTTATAGATTATTATAACCAAGCAGAATCAAAAATAAAATTTCGAGTTTTCATGTAAAAAAAGTAAGAAAAAAATTAAAAATATTATCGTCATAATCTACTCAAGAGATGAAAGAAGTTATGCCATTGAATTCATTTTTTGTTTTATCCCGATATCTCAATCGATTGCTGAGATATAACGATTCAAAGTTTTCGTAATGATTAACATAGCATGACTTATATTTTTTTCTGAAACTAGTATTCAATTACATTTACGTCACGTAAGTATCACGTTTATCGTCACGTCTGATACTTGTCCAATGTACGAGTGAGAGGTTCTAGTAAATGACAAAGATAGAAATAGTAAATCATTAAAAATTACTCTTTTCTTTACACGACGATATCTCGAGAACCGGAAGTCGTATCGAGACAAATAAAAAAAGGTTTTAAAAGGTAAGATTCCACGCTTCCAATGGTCATTGATTCGTCGATATAAAGTTATTATCTTCAGAATTATAGAGCCTCAAAGTTTTCCTAATTTTAATAGGATTTAATCGAGTTCAAGATAAATGATAGAAAATTATTTTCTCTTTACACGACGATATCTCGAGAACCGGAAGTCGTATCGAGACAAATGAAAAAAGGTTTTAAAGGATAAGATTCCACGCTTTTAATAGTCGTTGATTCGTCGATATAAAGTTATTATCTTCTGAATTATAGAGCCTCAAAGTTTTCCTAATTTTAATAGGATTTAATCGAGTTCAAGATAAATGATAAAAAGTTATTTTCTCTTTACACGACGATATCTCGAGAACCGGAAATCGTATCGAGACAAATGAAAAAAGGTTTTAAAGAGTAAGATTCCACGCTTTTAATGGTCGTTGATTCGTCGATATAAAGTTACTATTTTCAGAATTATAGAGCCTCAAAGTTTTTCTAATTTTAATAGGATTTAATCGAGTTCAAGATAAATGATAAAAAATTATTTTCTCTTTACACGACGATATCTCGGGAATTGGAAATCGTATCGAAATAACGAAGAAACATTTTAAAGAGAAAAGTTCTATGTCTCTAATGATCTTCTTTTGATTGATCAAGAATTATTATTTTCGGAATTATATCGGTTTAAATACACGACAAATAACAAAAAAATTAAACTGTCTGTTTTTTCTGATATCATTATCCAAAATCCAATATTGCGAAATTTGATCCTGATGGAATTTCAATTCTCGATAAACTGAAAACTATGTAAATACGAAGTTATCTCAATCAATATTTTATTCTAATCTACATCTAAACGATCCATAATATATAATTATGAAATTATTATTCACTCCGCGAGGATGATACAAACAGGATGCATCCATTTTTCCGAAAAACAAACTATCGAGAAAAAAAAGAAAAAAGAGAAGAAACCAATATCCCTCGAAGCTACACCTTCTCGCCACAAACCCTCCACTTTCCACCCAACCACCTTAACCAATCACTCCCGAGCGAATCATTAACAAGGTTCGAATTAATTAGAAATTCAAATCGCGACGTAACCCTCATAAAGAAAGCGGATACCACCACGTATACATCGTTCGAATAAATGGGGGAGGGGGAGGGGAAAAAAATGGAAGAAAAATGG